GCTTCTTGGAAGCAGACACTTATTCAGGCTACACCGATACGATTTCGCATTGGCAGTGCGCCATATTAATGAGTTAAGGTGGCGTGCTGATGGCTTGTTCGATGTTACTCCATTTTTCTTATTTTAAAGTTACTCTATAAACTCCTGGCAGGTGATGTCGTAGTTTTACAGTTTTCGATAGTGAGTTGGTCGGATGTCTCTCCATTCGGCCAACTATCAAAGGATGAAGGATCTTCGCCGTTGATCAATCCCCCTCTGGAATGCGACCCGCGCTCTCCTTTCACTCAGAATTGCAGTGCTTTATTGAAATTGCGATGTGGTCTAGACAATGACTTTGGGGGGGGGGGCAGCCGATGTGCAAAAAATTTCAGAAGAGATCGCGTATTAAACAGCTTCCCTTTGGCAGCGATCATTTCAGCAGGAATTCTGCACCAAAGATGATTTATGCGACGGCAAATCTCTCCCGATTTGCGTCTCAACTAGTGTCATCACAGATCTTATGGGGATTAGGACCATCTCTGGAAGTAGAGAAGCGTAGTAGAGATCTGCTTATATAACTAATCCACAGTCGCTATAGGAGTCCTAAGCTCCTAGGCTGTCCTGAGAGCTCATTTTGCAAATTCAATTTGATTCGTGGTCCAAACATGAACTGATAAATGGAAATTGGCTCACCAGTGTAGGAAAAAGTTGATGAAACTATGAAGACAATAGAACGCCTGAGGAACTGGCGACTAATTCGAGAGAGGAGATACGGCTGCTGCTATTTGCGAAGACGTAGAGATAAAGGGTGGACAAGCAGGAAGAAGAGTAAAGCGACAAAGATCCCGCACAGAATGAAGGCATGCAGCTCAATATCTGTGCTTTAGCAGGCGCAGCTGGTATATCTCGTCCCCGATGGGTGATGCATTTTCATCGGGTTGCGTTCCTTCTGTGGGTTCATCAACCTGCGAGATCGTGTGGAGGACTACCTATAAAGGGAAGAGATTGAAAAAACTCACGCGACTTGTATTAAATCGCATAGGGTGCAGCCCTTCAACTTATAAAACCTGCGAGTTATTCGAATATGACCGCTCTGGTCCACATAGGTACTCTTGTAGCGAATTAATGTGGAGGTGTAGTCTGCGCTCATGCTTTCGGCAGCGTCGACCAGCGACTAGTAGCGTACGCCAGCGTTCTGAGGGTCTGGTGGCGTCAGCGACTAGGAATTGTAGATGATCTAGCGTCTGCCAGCGTTCTCCAGCATCTGACGTCTGCCAGCGTTCTTTAGCATCTATCGGCATGCCACCAGCGTCTTCTACCAGTGTTTCGCTAGAGGAGAGCATGGCGATACGAGGGTAGCAGGCAGCTGGTACCTTCTATGGCGCGTACACTCCCTACCATCAGTCTGCTACCCTCCTATCTCACCATACTCTCCACTCCCGGGCATCGATGCCGTTGGTGCACTATGGCGGACTCTAGATCGATACCTATACTTTCCTGTTTCCCTCGAGACGCTGGTGGACGCTGGTAGACGCTGGCAGACGCTGAATCGATATCTGTACTTTCCTAGTCGCTTACGCTGCCGGACGCTCGGAGCGCCAGTGACGCTGCGCTGGCGATACTGTATGAACGCAGCCTAGGACGTCCAACAGAACAGGCACAACAACTTTGGAGAATCATTGATTTTGCTCGCGAATAGTCAATATCGATCCGCCGAATACAGTCACGAAAGTGAGATAGCTGTGAAATCTCCGGAGTAGACTTTGACAGACACGAGTAGAGAATGTGAAGAAGAATTTAGAAAATTCTTCCGGTATATTGAATAGCTGCCACCCTCTTTATGTGCTGCTGCAGCACACCGTTTCGTTTTTGCTGCTGTTCCCGGGTTGATCAGTCTGCTTTTTGAGCTGATGCGTCACGTAATCAGTTTCCATTCAATTCATTATTTTCATCATGCTTGAGGGTCATAAAATTAACATGGAAATGTGCTGCGTTATATTCTAATTGCTTCGAAATGTGATATGCTTGAGAGCGTACTAAGAATGGTTTGGCGAAGTCTCTTGTATCCAAGCATTCTTACTACTACTTACCTATCTATCAGAAGCTTTTCAGAAGGCTACAGTACGCTCCTGATAGGGGATCCGTCGTGGTTTATCTGTAAAGAGTAAGAAGAGCATCACAGGACCATCACAGGATCACTGGTGCTCGCGACTGAAGGCGAAATATAAGTTCACCTGTTGTTACTACTGTAAGGAGAGACATATCAAGCGATTCACCTCACCGGTGTTATCGTACGAGACTTTCAACCACCTACCTTCAACCATTTCCCCTTCCCGGTTCTCCTGGAGATGCTTGGAGAACGAAACCCTTCCATTCTCACTTACAATATGGCCCCTGAACGATGACCCCCTAAAATGGCCTAAAAACAATCTGTGCACTCACATTTGCCGATCCTGGTCCTTGCCGTGTGAGGCGAATGGGTGCACGTGCCAGTTTCTCCACTCAAAATTGCACGGGAACAAGGCTAGAGGGCAGTGATGCCTGGCGGCCTTTTCCATACTTCGCTCGCGCTGCCGCACAGCCAGTCACACGCCTAACCATGGCCGAATGCGCTACTCGTTTGCGATCTCTCATTTCTGCTTGTTCTATACCGCTGACTGTACTTTCGCTGCGGGATCTTGTACCAGCGCAAGAGCAGCCTCTGAGGATGGAGCGGGCAGGAGACGGCACCCGTGCCATTCACCTCACACATGGAAAGGACAGTCCTCTGTGGTGACTCTATAGTTTGACTTAGGTATTGACATTTTATGCTCGTCCACTCACCATGATTACTTGCAAGAGGGAGGGTCCTATTAAGGACGCTTTCTTGTTCACTTCTTCACTAGAACGTCACCGCTGCACTCGTTTGAAACTATTACCTGCAAATTGGCAGACAGTAAGTACAATACTATGACCTGACGAAGACTCGCAGCTCATACTCGTATAGCCATGCCTTAAGCAATGATGCCCAGCTTGGGCAGAGCTGACCGGTGGCTTAAATTGAAAAAAATATAATTTCTTTTGATTTCATTTTCGCAAAGGTACTTCCAGTTTTTTCAGTATAATTACCCTTTTTCCCTCGCACTCCAGCTCATGCAATCACTTCCTGGCTGACCAACCCGAGGCCACTCGTGACATAAAAATCTATACGACCACTGAACGTTATCTTAATAACACCAAACCCTTTCCAGGGCTTCGAAAAAAGTCTAAAGTCTTCGCCGTTGACCAATCCTTCAGTGGGATGCGGTACGCATTCTACTTCCATTCAGAATCGTAGTGGCTTATTGAATGTGGCCTATACAATGACTTGCGGTGGCCAGTTGATGTACAAATCATTGTCCGCATCCTCCAAAGGAATCTAACCATTTACCGTCTACAGAGGCTAGGATGCTTGATTCGCCTGGCGGTTCGACCCGAGACTTGAACCCAGGACCGAACGAAAGCAGAGCGCGCCACTTGTCACTACACCACCTCTGCCTCGAGGCTCCAAATAATGGACGGAAATAACGGGTGTACAGACTTTTTCAAGTCTAATCAGCTAAAAAATTAGAGTTATTTTTATTTTGCCGCGGTAAACTTGTTTGAAAAGACGCAAACAGTCTGCAATGACGCCAAAATAGTTCCTACAGCAATCCAATTAAAAAGCTGTTTTAGTTTCACACCTGCCATGTACAGTACGCAGATGGTTTAAGCGAATAAACACAGACTGTTTTCTATAAAATTGCATTTAAAATCCAATGCCTATCATGGCTGCAAATGGCGGCCTTCATCGCATCTTAAAAATCGAATGGCTCCAAAGGGCTTAGCTCAAGGCATGTTAGTGCTAGCCACTGGTGAACCTTTGGCTAGAGGCAAGGCTCAGAAACTTAAATTCCATGGTGGGAATGAGGTATCCGTACCCAATACAGGAGATGGAGCACATCTGTGGGAGAAGAGGAGAGGATACTGAACGTAAGGCACCTCGGGGTAAGTATAGCACAGAAAGCTTTGGAAACCCTTACAGGATTCTCGAGAGTCGAGTGTTTAGCGCGTCCCAAAGAGATAAGCTAGAAGAGTTCTGCGCAAGATAGTGTAACCATGAGAAGAGTCATCACTAAAATGAGGTTGCTACACTCGCGACGTACTGCAGGCGAGCTAGAGGGGTCGTAACGCGGACCCAGTGGCGCGCGTGACAACGGTCTGGAGAGTTTCCGCTACTTCCTATTAGGACTTAACCTCGTCAGGCTTCTGTTTATCTGGTTAAGCGTCACTAATTTTCGAATACAAACAGCGAGTCATTTCAATGACGAAAATTACCCGTATTCTTAGAAAGTACGCAATTACGACCCAACTATTTCGCGGATACAGAGTGCACCGCCGCCGCTCTTGTTAAACAAATTAGGCCCTGGTGCAAAGTTCTCTGCAGGAGCCGCTCTCAGAGCGGCGACTTCTCTGCAGGTCTCCGGGACCATAATCATTACGATACGGTCAAACAAACATGCAGCCTTCATAAGGGATGCTGCATACTTAATGGATTTTATGCTCCAGTCAACACAAAATCTTTTCTTCACACTGTTTACTCTAACAAAATGCTACTAGTTAATCAAAACCAGACTCAAATATGCATCTATTAGGAAATCCAATAGTTGTTGTTATTCTCAGTGTTATTATGTTACGCATAAGGAAAATGTGTACCCCAATGGCAGATCCTGGGATGCGCCATATATCTGACTTCCTTTCCTAATCACTGAAGTTCAGAAAACGTATGTGAATGAATGAACAAGACATAACATGTCTAACCTTTATTCATATAAATCAAGAAAACAATGATTATTATAAAGGAGATTGATGCTGGCCGCGTGTTGGAGGGTTCACTGAAAATTAATAGGAAATAGAGCTGCTTAATTCCCGAGAATATGCAGTAATCCTTACCTCCGTCATGGGTTGTTGCTGTAGTTGTTGATTGTGTTGTCGTTACTAGTTTTACCAAATTTCCTCTCTCATTACGATCTCGCTGGTGACCACGATGTTGACGTCAGTTTATGCTTGATCCATGAGATTGGTATACATTCTTTGATACCATCAGCTTCAGCTAGACGAAGAACCCACGACAATATTTCCAGATTTTGAGCCAACTGAAATTTCAATTTATTTCTTGGCATCTATGGTGAAACGGGAAATTTTGGTGAATTTCATTTAGGACGGTTCCGTCGAGCTGAATAGGATCTGGCAGAGTCCCGACTTTATACTTGTATTCTAGTACTGAAATCTGGATGCTTTACGAGGCTGTGTTCTCTAGGATATATTACGTGAGTTCAGTTATATGAGGGAGCGCCGCGCCATGTTCAAACGATTATGTCAGGAAAAGTCACTCATGTGAAGCAACGAGCATAGAAGGGTCCGTGAGTCTTCTCAGCAATTCAAATGAGATTAAACTTGCAAAATTCAAATCGTCCCTTCTACTACCTTGTGTCAATTTCTCAGTGCAAAAGGGTTTCTGTAATGGCCTTTAGTGCCTCACAAATTTGGGTGCTGTTTAGCGCCGTGAAAGCATTTTTCACCCTTGCTACTTTCTTATGCTAATTTATGTGAACTAACAGGTTACGCTACATTTTTCTGAGACCCGTAAACTCTCTCGCAGCTACGAACTAGTACAAGTGAACCACTCTGTTTACAAGAATTTACGATTTTTCACGAGATGGCCTGGACAAGTTTCGCTCCCACCAAGCCGATCTGCACCCAAATTTTTCTGCAGCCGAATCTGCCTTGGGGCCACCCGCTGGCTACCCGTTCCCTTTTCTGGGATGTTCCACACAATTTGCGGTGGGGATGGTGAAGCTGACGGAAATGAGAAATCCCCAGGCTTTTCACTGTGTACGTTTACCCCGAGGAGAGCTCAGGGGGTTCAAATCATGTATCGGCCAATGATGCCTTTCATCCCTCCAGGGTTGCTAGTAGGCACAATATTACTCTCGGAGGATCAAAACCTATGTTCTACATCGACGAGCCTCCCGCAACTCTTTGCCTGGGCCAAATCGCGTTCACATTTCCCTACAATCGTGGATCGAAACAGAAGGCGCGGCGCATCCCAAATAGGGTTCGGTCGATGGGACTGATTGACCCTTCATAGTCTATTCCAGCAACTCGCTAGCACTCGAAATACTCTCTTTTTGCGTTGAGTTACTGGAATCCATACTTTTCAAGCATTGTTTTCAGCCCCGCTGAACATCCCAAGAAAGCATGAAAGCCATTGAAAATTTTGAAAAAAAAATTCTGAAGCAGCCATTAGGCGTAACAATGGTTGTTGAGCGCAATGGATACTTCACGTGCTCGTTAACAATGTTTCCCTCCTACGGCGATGTTTCAGAAAAAATGATTTTTCTGGTTGAGTTGGTTCAAATACTTCTATTAAAATAATGAATATATCTAGCCTTACCTGATCAAGGTCTAGCGGCGTCTCTACCTCTGGTATATCCGACCTTTTCAGCATAATTCCGCGGCATGCTGGAGCGAAGGAAAACTTTCTGAATGACGTTGTTTGATACAGTATATTACTTATAAGCAATTTTTTGTATAATGTAGTACCAGTTGAAAAACTCTACATTTTTCACGGCCGATGAGGTAAAACCGTGACTCAGAGGCCATAGAACACGCGTTTTTAGGCTGTTTGTAAGAAACAGGGACTAACAAGCATGAAGTGCATAGATGCATAAGCGTCTGGAATTCAACTCAAGTCATGCCTGTAGTTTCTTATTGTTGCGGCCTTTACGCTCAGCGCCTTCATTTAACCCTTGCGCCATCACTAGAGACTAAATTGAGAAACCGTGAATTGTCTTGGTGAAATAGAGGAATGAGAAACTGGCCCATTCCAACTAATTCCAACTAGCGAACATTACGGTAGCCCAGCGCGGCTTCAAAAATGTAGGACCCACTGCTTGCCCTAATACTTCCCGATAAACGAAGGAGTTCCTCAGAAATTTTTCATGAATAATTGCAAAGTAGATGATCACCTGCAATCAAGTGCAATAGCCAACGGAATAATGGCAACGATGAGAAAAAGTAAGGTCCGCATATCTGTGAGGTGAGCGGTAGAACTGAGACAGGGGGAAGGCCGCCGTACGTCTGCCTCAACACTTCGTCCCGCCCTCAACACTCCCCCCTCTTCCATTTCATCTAATAGGAACCGCCTCCGGGCGATCAGTACACGATTTCTGATTGCATACGACATCTAGAGAGCATAGCTTGTCTCTATCAGACTAAACCAGATTAAATGTAATCGAAAGCGAGCCCTTCCTAAGAGGGTGCAATGACGTCGGCTCATGATCAGTTCGAGCACTTTATGCTATGTATGTTTCTGCGAACCCTAGAAGGCTTAGAACAGGTCCAAGTCACTACTGCTCAAACTCCCGCAGAGTAAAGTTCAGGCTCAAGAGCATC